AGGAATGCTGCCCCTGGAGCATCTGTCAGGAAGGGAGATCGCAGAGTCGGTTTCTCTGATGTGTTCTGTCCATTCTGCCTTTCTTACTCTGGGAGCTGCTCCAGCAGGTCAAGTGTGGGGAGAGAAGTCGAGTCTGGTGTTAGAAGTCCTGGGACCCGGAGAGGGGCAGGTTCCTTTCCTGGTACTTATCAAAACACCCGGCTGGTTGTAGCTTCCTCTCCCTACACTGAAGTTAGCTGACCTTCAGAACATTTGCTGAGAGATCTGAGTTCTTACCCTCTCTTCAACTAAGTCAGGATTTGACCTTTGGTAGATCCCTCCATTCCTCTGGGCCTCAGTTTCCCCACCTGTAAAATGAGAAAGTCAGATGAAATTATTTCAAAACCTGGCTTTATTGCTCTCATAGTAAGGTGAATATTTATGGAGCACTTACTGTGGGTCAGGCGCTGTACCTGACAGGTACCCGCTTGTGTCACTTAATTCCAGTTTTACTAGTAAGGACACTGAGACTTTGAGGATGTAAGTGGCCTGACATTACCCTTCTAGTAGCTGGTAGAGCCTGTGCTGGAGCCCTAGATTGGTCCTACTCCAAGCCTGTGTTCTTAGCCCCCATATGAAGCCCGTTCAACAGACCACAACCACTGCTACTGCTACTTAGAGGAGTTAACAAGCTCATTAGGCAGGAGATCATAAAACCTTTCAGATAAACAGTACAAAAGGGATCCCCTCTTAAATATAAGAAAGAAATAAACGGAAAAGTATAAGAATCAATTTTAGAAGGAAGAAACTTTCCCCCAAATACCTGCAGTTTTGTAATTTGGGGCCTTGGGGGTTGAGGGCAGGGAACCAGGAATCTGAGTCTCCACCAGGGGGCAGCACTCCTGCAGGCAGTTTTTGATTCCTGTGTCTAGGGTCCGCAAATCCTGTCAGAAAATCCTGCCTCTCAGACATGGTACAGTTTTGCTGCCTTTGAGGTGCTGGGTGGATCCCGAGATCATCCAAGTCCCAAATTCCAAAGCAGTATAAACACGCTGCCAGCGAGTTCGCAGTGTCATTTTGGCTCTGTGTAAACCGTGTCTGCTACCTGGTGCCCTGACCGCCCTGCTTCCGTCTGCCAGGTAGCCGCGTCCGGAGAGGGCTCCACCATCAGCGGTTATCTCAGCCGTTGTAAGAAAGGGAAGAGGCCCTGGAAGAAGCTCTGGTTTGTCATCAAAGGCAAAGTGCTCTACACCTACATGGCCAGTGAGGTAGTGTGGTTCCTGCTTTCTCTCCTCTCCCGTGAGGGCCCATGCGTTAAGCTCGTGCCTCAGACTGTCTGTGTGGGGTGTGCACTGTGCCTCACCAGAGGGCGGTGTGAGTCCAGCATCTGGTTCCCACGTCAGTTCCCACTTCGGTCAGGTGTTTACTGAGGGACGCCGTGTGGATATGCAGCCATGCGTCCATTTCCAATCTGAGTAATTTACCGTTTCTTTGTGGGGCTAAGGCGGTACAGCAGGCAGGACTGTGCAGCATAGCATTTGGGTATCACAGCCCCAGCATCCAGGACAAGCTGGCACTCCCTAAAAGAGAGCTCCTTTCTGTTCTCCACTTCAGTTGTTTGAGACAAAATTCAGCAGCTTGGAGGGAGCTACCATACTTACTTTCTTATTTATTTATGGTTGCATCGGGTCTTAGTTGCGGCATGCTGGATCTTCATTGCAGCACATGGGCTTCTCTCTAGTTGTGGCACGTGGGCTCCAGAGTGCTTGGGCTCTGTACTTGAGGCGCACGGGCTCAGTAGTTGCGGCGCGCGGGCTTAGTTGCCCCATGGCATGTGGGATCTTAGTTCCCCAACCAGGGATCGAACCCGCGTCCCCTGCATTGGAAGGCGGATTCTTAGCCACTGGACCACCAGGGAAGTCCCACTTCTTTACTTTTTGTCTGTGCATTTGTCAGGGAACTATATTGCCTCATGGTAACTCTTCTGCTAAGTAAAACTCAAGTTTATATACATATATCATAGAACATCTTACATTTACGTCTACTAAAATATCGGAGAGGGCCTTGGTCAAGCCTGCTTCTGGTGTAGATAGGTGTGAGCTTGGCTGTACAGCCGGGGGCGCTCTGGTCCTGGCCCAGGCTAAACCCGTGGGATAATGTGAAAGATTTCCGTGCCCAGGCCCCACCATCTGATGGTTTCCACAGGTGAAATCCGCTTTGAAAATGGGACTTAAATGCATTCTGCCCAGCTGCACAGGGTAGGTGTTTTACCCACAAGGATGTGCACATCAGCACAGGGCTGGCCCTTCTCCCCTGACCGCAGATGCTGGTATCCGGGCAGAAGGCACTGCCTTCTTCCGGGCATAAAGCTTCCCTCATGAGGGGCCTGCAGCTGCGCCGGCTGCAGTCAGCCCCATCTTCAGGGATCCCAGAGGCCAGGAGGGACGCAGACACACAGAGGGGACCCACTGTGGGCCTGAGTGACTCGGGCACTGTGTGAGGCAAGCCCTCCCCTGAGGGGGCCTTTCACTTACGGGTCCACAGATGGGGCTCTCCGTGCTGAGGAGAATGTGGATCTTTCTGGAACAATCTGAAATGTGCTGCAACCCAGAGTGGCATCTTCCTAAGGAGGCATTCCACAGGACACTCGCAGGGGCCCTCTGAGAACTGGGTTCTGAGAGAACCCTGAGTAGACAGTTTGTGGGACTTCCTCACAGTAGTGCTTTTGAGTCTCTAATGAGCAACGGCATGTTGTGGGTCCCCAGGATGTGGAGAGTCCCAAGGTGGCCTGACAGCAGGCCCTTCCTCACAGAGCATCTCATGGAAAACACACTTGGGGAAGAAATGCTGGCTTAGACAGATGAACAAAGGCTAGTGATAATTAACCAACCACCAAAGAGAGTGGATCCTGTTTGAGAATGGAAAACCCAGAGGCCGCGGGTCCTGAGCAACAGTTGTCATGGAAGTGAGAGTGTGGGTTAATTTTAAAAGACGGATTTAAGTATGCTTCCAAAGCCACTTCCTCAGAGAGAGGAACTTGTACAGTTTCTCAATAAGCCTAAACCAGTGACAGGACCAAGCTTTCAAATTCCATCAAAGAAAAAAATTTGATGAAATGGATAGCCAGTTTTCACTGTCTACACTACCATGAACCCCGTCATGTACCCTGAGGTAACCCAAACCAGATGTAACTTGCTGTCAGTAACAGTCCTGGGAGAGAGTGACTATCAGAAATACATAGGAATCTTTTAAATTTTTTCCAATATTTTATTATTTAGTCAATATATTTATTATTATTATGTTTAAACAATTTCAAACATAAAGATGTTGAAGGAATTTTACAGTGAACTGTCTTATAACCATCAACTAGATTATACAAGTAACATTTAATTACACTTCCTTGAACAAATATCTGTCTATGCGTCTCTCATCCATCTTACTTTTTGATGCTTTTCAAGTATACTTCCCCCTAAGAGTTCAATATTTCTGTATCTTTTTTTTCTTTTGAGGTACAATTTATATATAATGAAATACACAAATCTTAAGGATACTATCTGTTGAGTTTTGACTAATGAATACCCCTGTAAATCCCCACCTCACCCCTATCCCCGGAGGCAACACAGTTTTGATTTTTTTCCTACCGTATATTAGTTATCTCTTTTAGATCTTCATACAGATGGAATCATGTGTGACTTCTTGCACTCAGCATGTTTTTGAGATTCATTCATGTTGTTGCACTCAGTAGTAGGTCATTTCTTTTATGACTGAGTCGTACTCCATTTTGTGAATATACCGGTTTGTCCATTCACCAGTTGAAGGACATTTGAGTTGTTTCCAATTTGAGGCGGTTATGAATAAAGCCAATTTAAACTTTTGCATACAGGCTTTTGTGTGAAAATAGGTTTTTATTTCACTTTGGGTGAATACCTAGGATTGGAATTTCTGGATCACAGAAGGGTATATATTTGGCTTTTAAGAAATTAGCAGACATTTTTCCAGAATGGTGTAGCATTTAACAGTCCCTGCAACAGTGTAGGTAAATTTGGGAGTTCTGGTTGTTCCATGTGTTTGTCAGCACTTGGTATTGTCAGTCTTTAATTTAGCCATTCTGGTGGGGGTGTAGTAGTATCTTAATGTGGTTTTAATTTAGATTTCCCTAGTGACTAGTGATATTTTTCATGTGTCTGTTGGCTATATATATATTTCTCTTTGAGAAGCGTCTGTTCGGATCTCTTGCCCACTTTTTAGAGTAGATTGTTTGTTATTGAGTTACAGGAATTCTTTCTGTACCCTGGCTACCAGTCTTTTATGAGATAAACATTTTGTGAATATTCTTTCCCAGTCTGTGGCTTGTCTGTTCATTTTTTTAAATGAATGAATGAATCAATCTTTTGGTGAACAGAAGTTTATAACTTTAATGAGGTCAATTAATGTTTTCTTTTTTGGCTATTGCTTTCGTGTCCTAAGAAACTTCCGACTACTGTAAGTCACAAAGTTATTTTCCCCATATTTTCTTTTGAAAACTTTACTGTTTTAGTTTTTACATTTAGGTCTATCTCAAATTAATTTTTGTGTATGGTGTGAGATAGGAGTCAAGGCTCATTTTTTCCCCTATAGGTATCCAGTTGTTTCCAGCACCGTTTGTAGCAAAGACTTCCCTTTCCTTATTGGATTATTTTGGCGTCTTTATTAAATATTAAATGACTAAGTGGGGGTCTGTTTCTGGGCTCCCTATTCTGTTTTACTGATATATTTACCAAACATTATGCCAATACCATACTGTCTGTCTTATTACTATAACTTTATGTAGTAAGCCTTAAGTCAGGTCGTGTAAGTCCTCCAACTTTGTTCTTTTTAGAGGTTTCAGTACAATTTTGAATTTAATTGGTAAGGGTGAGCGTCCTCTTGCTTTGTCTCAATCTTAAGGGAAAAGGATTCACTGTTGCGCTCTTAAGTATGATGTTGCTGGTAGGTATTTTATAGATGCCCTTTGTCAGATAAAGGAAGTTCCCTTCTATTCCTAGTTTGCTGTGAGTTTTTATCGTGAATGGATGTTGAATTTTGTCAAAAGTTTTTTCTGATCTAGCAGTCTTTTTTTTTTTAAACATCTTTATTGGAGTATAATTGCTTTACAATGGTGTGTTAGTTTCTGCTGTATAATAAAAATATGGAACGCTTCACAGATTTGCATGTCATCCTGGCTCGGGGGCCATGCTAATCTTCTCTGTATCTTTCCAATTTTAGTATATGTGCTGCCAAAGGAGCACTGATGTAGCAGTCTTTGAAAATGGATTCCCTTTTAGACACAAACTCTACTCTCCCCCCGCCTCCTCGCACAGTCATTCTGATGTGCTTAACTAATTATATCTCTTTGTTTATGTGTGATTTTATAAAGCTGTATTCTTTATGAACATGTATTTTTACATAAATATGTGTGTACAAAAATATCTTTATCTATATATAAAAAGCTCTTTCTTTTTCCGCTAAGCACTGTGATTTTAAGATTCATCTGTGTTCTCTGGGTACATCTCACCGAATTGTTAGCAGCCCTATAGCACGGACACCCTGAGTGCTCCATATTGAAGCGCTGCGAAAGAGGGCCTGGGGGGATGAGTACAGAATACGTTAACAAGGGTAACACTAGAAATCTGAGTCACTGATAAATCGAGTTAGTGGAAAGAATGTGGGGTTTTAGAAAGTGGTCACGAGTCCAAACACTGGCTCTGCCCCTTACTCGCTGTGTGATCTTGGGGAGCTATTTACCTTCTTTGAGCCTCAGTTTCTTCTTAGAATGGGGGTGACACCTTCTATGATTGGTACGAAGATTAAACAAGATAATGTGAACGTGAAAGTGCCTGGACCCTAAATGCTGTCACAAAATGTTAAGTTTCTTTTCCTCCTCGCGACTGGTGCTGGCGGGGAAGTGGGAGTGAAGAGTATGTGTGTGATAATTGCACCGTTGCCAGAGATGCCCCACACAGAGGGGCTCGTCATGCATGTTACATTGGAAGCATCAGTGATTGCTAAGCTGCTGACTGGGTATCTTGCCGTGTTTAACATCAGTTTTCCCTTTGCCTCTCTGCAGGACACAGTGGCCTTGGAGAGCATGCCCCTCCTGGGTTTCACCATCGTGCCAGAAAAGGAGGAGGGCAGCAGCGAAGTAGGACCTATTTTTCACCTTTACCACAAGAAAACCGTATTTTATAGCTTCAAAGCAGAGGATACCCATTCGGCTCAGAGGTACCAAAATAACTAGTCGTGCGTTTCCTTGCGTCTCTCTCAGAAGGGAGCGAGCTGTCACCCTGGGCTTTGGCTTCTGTTCTTCTCCATCCATCCTGTCCTTTCAAGTCCCCTCGGGCCACAGCAGAGCAGCAGATTTAAATTCACAGGCAGACCTCAGACATATTGCGGGTTCGGTTCCAGACCACCGCAGTAAAGTGAATGTTAAAGCAAAGCGAGTCACAAACTTTTTGGTTGGCCAGTGCGTAAAAAGTTATGTTTATACTGTAGTCTACCACCTCTGCAATAGCATTACGTCTAAACAAATGTACATACCTTAATTTGAAAAAACCTCACTGCTAAAAAATGCTAACCATCATCCGAGCCTTCAACAAGTCATGATGTTTTTCTGATAGTGACATCAAAGATCACTGGTCACAGATCACCATGACAAATACTTATAACAATGGAAAAGTTTGGAATATTGTGAGAACTGCCAAAATATGATACAGAGACACAAACTGAGCAAATACTGTTGGAGAAATGGTGCTGCTAGACTTGCTGGACATAGGGTTTCCACAAACCTTCAATTTATAGAAAATGCAGTATCTCCGAGCACAGTAAAGCAAAGCACAATAAAACAAGGTCTGCCTGTATTATGACTCATTCATACAGGTGTGCATTGATTCAGCAACCTTTGCCCTGTACTCTAGGCGTTTTGCTAAATGCTAGGGAAACAAATATAGTAGGACACGGTTGCTGACTTCAGGCTAATAAGTCTCATCATTCATGGGTTCCCTGGCCAGGGTTCCAGGCAGAGCCTCAACACCAAGTGTCCCCTCTCTTCTGCGTTGCAGGTGGATCGAAGCCATGGAAGATGCAAGTGTGTTATAGCAGTTATCAAGCACGTGGACTCAGAGTACACTCTTAGGTTGATGCGTGGACCCTTCCAGAAGCCAATCTGTGTCTCCACTCATCTGGACACACATCTCGATTCAGCATGGGGCCTGACCTTGTTTGCTATAACCCCTCTCTCACACCTTCACAAGTGGAACCCTTAAGGGATATTTATGGACCTTTTCTGTCTTCGTGTTTTCCACCCCCGCCCCAGGCATAAACTATTTCCTTTTCCAGTAGTGAGTTAAAATTTAGTAACATGAAGACGTGGAAACCAATAGAGAAGTACATTTTAGAAATGCAAGCTTTTTAGTAGAAACAAGCTTTTACAATTTTTACTCCTGGTAAACATGATGACCTTTCACGTTGTTGATGTCAGTGCCTCAGGTGAAATGAGAAACAACCAGCAAATAACAGCTACTCTCATCAAAAGCACTTTATTGTTTTACTGAGCAACAACCTCCAGTTTTATTTTTTCCAAGGGATTTACTTAAGTAAATGGTAGATGGAGTCCTGTGGACTAACTTGCCACCAGTACTGGCTGTGGTGCAAGGAGGCGACACCAGGAGGGTGTCCCTTACCACGGAGGGTGCAGGGCCACGTGGCACTGGAGCACAAGGGGAGGACTCTCTCTTCCAAGTGCCCACTCGACCTGCAGACCGACAGGGCTTCCGAAAGGAGATATTCCGTCCTCCCCACGGCGGCCCCAACACCAGAGTAGTGCGGGAAACTCCGCGGCTGGCAGATCCGGCCCTCGCCCCCGGAGGTCACTGCAGACCCTCCGAAGAGACAGGGGTCTGCTTTAATTTATTGTGTGCCTTCCTGAGTTTACCCTGCACAAGCTGACTTCGTTACGCTTGTGAGAACTGTTCTTGTTTTCGACACGGTGATCCTTCTGCTGTATTCCTGAAGCCCTGAAAGAGACAAAAGGAGAGAAAACAAGATGCAATCAGAAGGTGAATTCGTGGTCTCGGCCAGTGGCTCTGGATACAGTGAGGGAGCACAGAAATAGTGGCTTGAAGATCCTCTCTGGGCGCCTGGGGCTCAGTCACCTCCCCGCTGATGACTGCTGCTCACGATGCTGGACGTGTTTTTACATAAAGCAGAGTGGTGGGGGGGGACTCCTTGTTACTCTCATCGAAATAAAAAACAATCATCACATATTCTGATGTCCTGTCCCCATCTTCCTGCTGCCCTGTCCCCTAAAAAAGGCATTTGCTGACAAACATTTTGTAAAAAGCACCATCTCCAGGAGTTATTTACATTAAATATTTTTAGGGGAATTTTTTTTTCTAGTTTGCAGTTCTTTTAAAATGTTTGGTTAAACATTTAATTAATGATTCAAACTAAGTGATTAGAGAGGCCTTCTTATTAATTTTTGAGGACTTTCATTTTCATCATCAGACATATTGAAATGGGCCTTCTAGACCCTTTGAGCCTTTAGAAAGCACAACAGGACTTCAGCACAAGGAAGTGGGCGCTTCTCCAACCTGCCCGTGCCACTGCCCATTGTCAGTTTCTGAGCTCCGGGTAGAATTATGTCTGGAAGTCACCTGGAAGGCCTCTTTTACTGTATAACATCCTATTTCTGATACTCCGTGAAGAAGATGTGATAGGGCTTTTATTCTCAGTGAATAGTTAACCCTGATAAAAACACCTGAGTTGTAGCTAAAACATACTGGTTGGGTTTTGTCAAAGGAAGTATAGCCACAGAGGTCCTGCACAGCTCGCGTGTGACTGGGTGAGGATCTGCCCGGTTACCTGGGCCTCGCTTTCACCTGGCCTCCCCATGGTTCTGCGTGGATGCATTTCAGCCGATTTCTACTGGTTGATTTGGTTCATTGTCCCTCCCCTGCCCTTCTCTCTGGCCAGCTCGTCTTACATGTTCATGTCAGCGTCTGTCCACTGGGTGAACCCAGAGTAACTCGGGCCCAGAGGCTGGAGGAGTGGCTGCCCAAGGCCCCACGATACTTGCTCTCCCCAGGCACAGGGCAGCCCCTGGGCACATCCCCAGCAGAGGCTGTGTTTCTAGAGGGGAAGCTGTGCTGTGGCTTAGAAACCAGAACACACTCCAGGAGCCCTGAGCCCCGGTGCCTTCACCTGTCACCCGGAGACCCTTCCAGCTTCCCAAAGAGATCAGGGGACACAGCGCACACCGGGCGTTTGTAGGAGTGGACCGAAGGCTGTGACACTGGAAAGCAGGTAGCACTTATTTTACACTCTGGTGGTTTCACAGCTTCCCTGAGACTGGATGTGTCTCTCCAGTCTGGACTGGTCCTCATAAGCAGGAAGAACTCTGTTCGTTGTCACTAACGCAGAGCACACTGGAACATGGTAGTGACCCGGGACACTGATTGAGCTCCTGGGTCCTAATAAGTCTTCTATTAATACATGTCAGAAATATACTCTGAGTTGTTCTTCTGAGGCTGACAGATTCCCTGACTACTCGTTCTCTTTTGGATGCAGCCCGGGCAGGTGAGGCGTGAGGGGCTGATGCCCAGGTGGTGTGCTGGTGTGCACCGACCCTGACGGCCCTGCTGTAGCCCCAGAAGCAGGTCAGAGTCCTTTTCCCATCTAGTCCAGCCTCTCGTTTGATTGACAGTATAAATGGCATCACTGAACACTGAGGCCCTACGTGGGGACTGAGGCCACCTGGGGTGGGAGTGGTAGGAGCTGATGGAACCCGAGTTTCTTTCTTTTAAAAAATTAATTTATTTTTATTTTTGGCTGCGTTGGGTCTTTGCTGCTGTGCGCGGGCTTTTCTCTAGTTGTGGCGAACGGGGGCTAATCCTCGTTGTGGTGGCGTGGGCTTCTCATTGGGTGGCTTCTCTTGTTGCAGAGCACGGGCTCTAGGTACGCGGATCAGTAGTTGTGGCACGAGGGCTCAGTAGTTGTGGCTTGCAGGCTCTAGAGTGCAGGCTCGGTAGTTGTGGCGCACGGGCTTAGATGTTCCGTGGCATGTGGGATCTTCCCGGACCAGGGCTCGAATCCGTGTCCCCTGCATTGGCAGGCGGATTCTTAACCACTGCGCCACCAGGGAAGCCCCTGAGTTTCTTTCTGCTGTGGGGCAGTCAACCACATGCTGGAATATTCTTCCCTTCACGGATTCAGCCTGTGATACGCGGCTGCTGTGAGCAGGGAAACTTCTGTGCTTCCACGTATTAAGTGTCAGTCAAGAGGACAAATGTATCCACAGTAAGACGTCTGTTTCCAATAGCAAGTAAAGGGAAACCAACCTCACACTGGTTTAGACAGTTAGGAAATCAGCTCAACAAGAAGTGGGAAAGCAGGGCAGGTTCAGGGCTGGACAGTAACCCCCAAGCTCCAAGCTCTTTGGGTTACTGACCTGTCGTCCATTGTCAGCTTGATTCCAGGGCTGGTTCCCAAGAGGCTGACCGGTGACCGCCCCCAGTGATGGGAGCTACCGCTGGCCTATTCACAGCCTGCAAAGAGGGGGCTCAGCTCCCTGTAGCTTCTTCTTAGAAGCACCCAGAAGACCCTCCACACGGCTCCAGGACCACACTTACTGAGCTGTCACTGCCAAGGGCACCACTATGACTGGCAGAGACCAGTCAGCTGGGGGAGAGGGAGCTGATGGAGGCGGCTGGGGGGATTCACCCACAGTGGCCACTCTCTGGACCACATCTTTTGGAAAGAAGACTATGGTTTGGATTAGTGTAGTGCACGGGCTGTGCCTTGCCATGGATTTGGGGGATGTTCTGTGATAGAGTAACTTACACAGCCATCATTGGGGCATCTATTACGTATTTGCTGAATATTACTGTCAGTGGCATTGGGGAGGCTGGTTTGATGTTATTGGTATTTTAAGCCCCTAATAAAAACAATTACTAAATCAGCAGCCAAACAGCACTGATCTCTCATGGGCTCGTAGAAGACCTTTGTGTGATTAACAACAAATGATAGCAAACATCTCGGCACGAAGGGCTCTAAGCACCTTAACCCCGCTCCTCCATTTAATTCTCCCAAGGACCTGTTGAGGTGAGTTGTTTTTCTGATTATTATTATCCCCATTTTGCAGATGAGGAAACTGGGGAATAGAAATGTTAGGTCGCTTGCCCAGGGTCACACACTCACAATTGGCAAACCCATGCTTGTAACTGTTCCCCTGTGGTGCCTCCCTCGAATGTGTGTGAGCTGATACTCAGGGCAATTTTCTGACACTTGCAACATGATGTCCCTCCTAAAATCAACAGAAATCTCTAACTGCCCAGGACCAATCAGTAGGACCTTTTTTCCAATGGTATAACAAACACAATGTTGAGTCAGAGAAAAATTGTGCATTTTTTTTCTCCAAGCAGAATCCTTAGATGTTGTCACGTAAGGTACCATCCATGTACATAATCCAGTGTTTTCAGTATACTAATTGCAACAATGAATACAGTTCTGTTTTTCTGCAATCATATGCACAAGATTTACCTCAACTTAAAATGGGGATCTGGATATTTAAAACCCAAAGTACACAGGCTTTAAAAATAATTGAACATTTCACATTTCTAGGGTTATTCAATAATTGACATGTTAGAATGCATACTCAAATATGAGGGATCTTTAAGGTAAGTAACCTTGGGGATTCAGCACATTTCTCTCACTTACATAATGGAATAGCTTAGAATTCCTATGATGGATTTATAAATAATAACCTAAAAATTGATCAATTACTTGCTATTCTCAAACCCTTTATGAATTTACGTCCTGTGGTGAAAAGACAAGCCCGAAGGGTATAGTTAACACATGTTCTATAAGAATGGACAAGAAGTCTTATTTTGGGAAGGAAGCCGTCATATCCTTGCCACACCAGTTCCAAGGGGAAGAGAGCACGTGTTCACAGAACACTTCTGTGTCCTGGGGGGTTGCACCCCCAAGGGAAGGGGGCTATTTCCAGAAGTGAAATCAAGCCAGTGCAAGCAGTGCACAGCCCGGGGTGTGTTGGTCATGTGAAGCCAGAGCAGTGTGTCGGGGTGACAGACCACAAATGT